CGCAGTCCAAGCTAGTTCCAAAACTAGTCGTCATCTAATCAAATATGATGTCGAGTCCAAAAATTGAACTCGAGACTCAGCTATTAATTAATTATTTATCACTTATTAATTAATTATTTATCACTTATTAATTAATTATTTATCACTTATTAATTTTTGGAATTAACTTGTTTCATTTTGTTTCTGCAGATTTACGCAATGTGCATAACATTGTCCAATAAGCGCTGGGCAGACATGAGCATTGCTCTCAGAGCATTGGTTATCGCCATCTCTTGGCCAATAAGATTCTGTGGTTTTGGATATACTATTATTCCATTTAACTTCTTGACGTGGGATAAAATGAACGAAGTAAGTTTTGAAATCATTATCGCTTCTTCGTGTATTATCGGGAATCAGCATTTTATTGAATCGAAAGATTAAACATTAAAAAAAAGACAAGCCATGCGGACGCTCTGATTGGTTGATAGAACGAAAATATATCCGTGTTTTCCCCCGAAATCCTTTCGGAATTCTTTCGGAGACTAAAATGAACGAAGTTGTAAAACTGATGCTGACCCTTCTCTCTTTAGTTTCMCTGTATACTTCAGTTGTCCTCTTTATTCCCTCTTTCTCCTTTCCCATAAAAACTACTTACTTTGTTATTCCATTAAGGTTTTTTACACCACGTACTACACGGTTCCTGCCGTGCTTCTCGCTTGGTTTATCTTGTATCCCATTGTTATTCTACCAATATTCAAGGCAGTTAGTCGAAAGACAGGAGACAAAGAAAGGTACGAAATTTATTTTTCTTTAATGAAAACGGGTGGCGTAGCGGTAGGAGCTCTCGCTTCTCGACAATGCGACCCGGGTTCGAAGATGATGATGAAGATGATGATGATATGAAGATGATGATGATGAAGATGATGAATATGATGATGATGAAGATGATGAAGATGATGATATGAAGATGATGATGATGATGATATGAAGATGATGATGATGATAATAATAATAATGGGATTAACAGTGGATTCCACAGAGTGGCTCTTCTTCCACTGGATTCCAATTGGAATTTAGATGTTGATTTTCGCGAATGTCAATAGAGTTGCTTGTTGGTSCTCTCCTGTTCTTCAAGAGTTTTTCTCCCTGTCCCTCGATCTTTCCACACTACAAAAAAATCAGCTTATAAATTCCAATAGAGGTATTGCACCATCACAAGCCCATCCCATAATACTGTTTGGGCTTCCTGTGGTTAGATGGCAGGACAAAATCCCTCTGCTCTTGGGAATTGAATTCTTTCTCATGTAAAACGATTGTATTGGTCCTGCTATCTAACATGGCTACCGTCACGTGATGGTGCAAACCTCTATTAAAATTTCAGTGGAGGAAKAGGTACTCTGTAGAAATTTCAATGCTGAATCCCATTTAGGCGGRAAAAAAATTGTGTTTGCTATTGAGCGACCGACCCTAATTTTCTTGCCGATTTTTGTCGACCCTAATATTTTTTTCATTCCCAAATGCACCACAGGGTTCCCAGTAAACTCATTTCCACTGTTGTATCAGTAAACTAAAAATAAAAAATCCGACCTACTGACCTACCGACCCCAATTATTTTCTCATGCAACAGTGTAGGCGTTACTATCTATTTATTTTGTTCGCTGATGCTTATGATGGCTTTGTTTCTCACGGTAATTTCTCTTGTTTTATTTTTCAGACTCAAAAAGGCAGAATAACTTATATCCAAGTTCTTGTGTATCATTCTTTGGTGTTTTTAAGTCAAATTTACGACATTTAATTTGAGTACCACGGACAGTACTTCTAATTTTGCGAAGGTACTATTAGGATAATCATATAAATATAACGCTTTACTTACAGTGCTTTTTACTTCACCCGTGAAATAGATATTAGAATAATACACATTGGTAGACCCTAATTCCACTGGGTTTTTTTTTTTTTTGTGTCTATTTGACTATTACACGTTGACTAGTATTTTTTATTTCACGGGTTAGAGTGAAGGCATTTGACCCGTGAAATAAAAAATAAGGCGGTGAAGGCATTTAACCCGTGGAATAAAAACAAATACTAGTCAACGTGTGATAGTCAAATAAACAAACGTCGAACTAACCATGAGCTCAATTTAGTCGAACCTATTACATTTGAAATAGGCTCAAGCCTAGTACGACGTTTGCTGCAATTGAGAACGGCCCTATTGAATAGGTTCGAGTCTAGCATAAGTTCGAAAAGCCAAGTCGGACATCACGACTCTGGAGCGCCTTTGCCGCTTTAAACAGGTGCCGAATTAAATTCATAAATTATGCAAAATAGTAAATCAATCATGCCAGTCGCATGACTTACACCAAAGCCGTGAAAACAATCGCTCCCCAAACTCCCAAACTCTCATTCCCCCCTGGCGAGCATGCGCTATACAAAGATGAGTGATGAATGAGACCGAAGAGCTCTGGATACGAAAATAAATTCAAAACTACCCAAACTGAACATGTCCGCGTTTAGAAAGTCGTTGCCACGAGACGAGACTCTTGAGTCCTGTAGTTTTTGTTTTGACCAAATGAAATATTTTTGCCTGGTTTGTGAGATGCCGACCTGCAATAAATGTGCTGTATTCGAGAGCAACGAAGATGAGCTGGGATGGGCGGCCGGCAAAAGCGTTGCGTATTCTTGGTTTGCAATCAATCCCAAGAGAGCACAATAACAAAAGGGATGTCCGCCATGTTGGAAGATATAAAAAAAGAATTCATTGAAAAATCTTTTGTCAAATTCTTCCAACATGGCGGCTATGACGTCTATTGCAAACGAAGAATTGTGAATGCTGCAAGAGAGACAAAAAAAAAAAAAAAATGGAAAAAAAAAAAAAAAAAAAAAAAAAAAAAAAAAAAAAACAATGAAAAATAGGTTCCCGCAAGGATATACACTGTAATCCAGAAAAGACAAACAAATGCCCGTACGTTCCCCCGTGAATTTTCATGTCCAATTAAAATTATAATAACGATGGTGAGTGAATTAATATCGACATTGGTTCGACGTTTGCCACCACGTAAGCCCTTTAGTTGGCCTTCCACCGAACCTATGTTAAATAGGTTCGGTGCGACGTTAGTCCTATGTTTGCCCTAGGTCTTAGTCTAATATCTATTTCACGGGTTAAATGCCTCCACTATATATTGATTATTTAATCATTGTGGATATTTAATTCGCATCAGTCAAAATTTATCGATCAATTATTCGTGATGTTCATTAATTAAAATGCTAATATTATTGATAATCATTGACATTATTCTTCTATACGTCAGTGTTGTTTGAATCTTAAGGCACCTAGCTTGATCCCATCCTATTATTATGATTAACGATTTTTAAGTCGTTAAAACTACTCTTTCCTCTCTAGCCTGTAAACATGGCTCTCCGTAGCCTGTAAAAACATGGCTCTCCGTAGCCTGTAAACATGGCTCTCCGTAGCCTGTAAACATGGCTCTCCGTAGCCTGTGAACGTGGCTCTCCGTAGCCTGTAAACATGGCTCTCCGTAGCCTGTGAACATGGCTCTCCGTAGCCTGTAAACGTGGCTCTCCGTAGCCTGTGAACATGGCTCTCTGTAGCCTGTAAACATGGCTCTCCGTAGCCTGTAAACATGGCTTTCTGTAGCCTGTGAACATGGCTCTCCGTAGCCTGTAAACATGGCTCTCCGGGTAGGGGCAATGGATGCATGTTGACAACATAACCATCTCACATCCTTTCTACGCATGAGTTAAGTACATGGGCGCTCACTGTGATTATTCGAATGTATATTTTCATGACATATATATTTTATTCTATATTTTAATATCATTAGATTTTCATACCAATTT